TGCGTGTAGAAGCAGTGAGTGAGCTGTGACTACCGGGACTACTTTAATTGTTCCGGGCGATGCACTGCATGTCTCTGGCACTTGCCCTGGCTTGAGTCGCGCAGTCTAGGAGGAGGTTGCATTGCTCATGCCTGACTCCGCACACTCAAATTTATTAACAAGGCCTAGCCGCTTGCACCCTTGAGTGAAGGCTCCAACCTGGGCCGGTGAAATTTACCATTTGCTGCTCTAGCCTATTAAGTGAGGCCGTGGCCTGCAGCGCCTGCCCCACGATTCGCCTGGGTCCAGGAAGTTGGCACTCTATTTTTTAAATCCTGCCCTACTCCACATGCTCACTGATGAGTCTGCGACCTGCAGCGCAAAGCCAAGAATCGAAGAAAACGACCTGGGTCTCGGTTTCTTGCTCCAAGTCCCGATGTCACTGCGTGCAGTACTAAGGCTGCAGGCTGCGGCCACGAGCGAAGGATCCAACCTGGGCCCACAGGATTGGGAGCCGGTGTTTGCTTTCCTGGCATTGCTCCTTGCAAATCGACGACTTTTTTACATCTGCGAAACCGTAAATTGCAAGCGACTTCCGCTGATGCTTCGGAAATTGCAAGCGACTTCCATGGATGCTTCTGGTGAGCTCGTCCAGTCCCCTTTCTTGTTCTGTAGTGGTAACCTGAATCTGGACATTAGCCAAGCTGGGATAGCAAGACCTCCGACTCCAAGAAGCTTCTGATGGAAAGGCGCTTTTTCCGATCACAAAGGAACTTCAGCAGCACGTTTTGGACTCCGACCTCGAGGCACTGGATCGCTGCGAATTTCGACGCCGACTGCGGGGCGATGTTAACGACATCTTGCAGGCTTGTGAAAAGCTGCTTCGCAGACGCAATCTCCACCATCGTTGCTGCATAAGCCCAGCTCTCAGTCAGCTCGTCGACTCTGAGACACTCCAGCTTCTGGAACAACTCCGGAGCTCTGTACCAGGCCACATACGGTGCAAACTCCAACACCGACCGATCCTGACAGAGCCGGCAGTTGGCGAAGCGGCCGAGCTTCAGGATCCAGTCCGACTCCGACCAGAAGACGGTCTTTGGTCGCAGATCACAGTGATAGACTCCGACCATCGAGTGCAAGAACTCCACCGCGACGGCCAGCTGCTTCCCAGCAACTCGCAGCTTGGCCCCTGACCACCTAGTGACTCCGACTCCGTTGCCTTTAATCTTCAAACACTCGTCCACTGTTGGCAAGTACCTGTAGACGAGGCAGTGCACCGGGTTCTCCGACTCCGGGTTCGGCAGAAATCCCATGGCAAGGGCCATAAACAAGGAGCTTTTGTCTGCGACACCGACATCCGAAATGCGCTGGAGGGTGTCCAGTTCCACCTTGTAATCCGCTGCATCCTGAAAGATGACTGCCATCGACACCGACTCCAGCAGCTCATGTCTGGCTTTGTAAGCCGTGGTGCGCTTCCCTTGCCACAGCACTGTATCAGTGCAGCACCACCGCCCCACCCGGACGACACCGGAATCAAGACTCCGACTCCGATCATCCATAGAATCGTCGCCCGAGAGGAGGCGCTGGGCGACTTCATACCTTGCCTCGAACTCCGACTCCGACCTATCCTTCCATTCTTGCTGTCCATTGGGCCCCAGCTCCTTCCACAGCTTTCCCACACGGGCCACCGCTGCTCGGTGCAGCTGGATGCCTTGCAGCGTCGACTCCGCTTCCACGGCAGCCTTGGCCTGTGCCAAGCTGGCCTGGTAAAAAAGATTGTAAGGCGAGTGAGCCTTCGGAAGTATGGTCTTGCTCACTTTGGCCAGCAGGTCGCGCTTGTTTATCTTCGACCCCGTCGCAGAATTCTTCCTTTTCTCTGCAGGTGGCATGGCTAGGTGTCTATCTGACGCCGACTGAAAAGCTGTGAACAAACTGACGAGCTACTGAGCGGTTCTTGCAACTGGAATCTCAACCCAGATGTGTGGGTGGCTTGTTCGCTTGCAATGATGCAACTGCCAACGTCAAGAAGCTTCTGAACGTGTTGTTTGACCCTCGATGTCACAAAACTGGAGCCGAGACTCCACTGTATCTAGCTTTGAGTGCCTACATATTACATACATATATTATATTATTATATTATACTATACTGTACTGTACT